GCTGAAGCTAAGTCCCTAATGTAGTTTTGTGCAAAAAATGGAATGACCTTGCCCTGGCAAGAGTCGCTAAGAGGTTAGAGCATCAGTTTGAGAGGGGAAGGGTCCTTGGTTTGCTTGCCAACCACATGAACCTTGATTGCAGGTTTGATCCCCACCCCCTCAGAGCATGTGTTGGATGTGTCTCTGTCACATGGATGATTCTCTTTCTCTCTCCCTCCCTTTCTTTCTTTTTCTCTCCCTTTATCCCTCTCTCCCTTCTACCTTTCCACATTCCATTCTCTAAAAAATAAAGCAATGGGAAAAATATAATCTGGTGAGGATTAACAAAAATAGAAAATGTAGTACTCTTAAGTCAGGTGAATAAGAGACCATCTGGGTGACCACCTCAGCTTTTGGGAAACTAGCTGAGATGATTTTTGATGGTTGGGGAGGGGGATTTTACCTTAGAGAAGAATAAACTTGGGAGAGAACCACTATAGCCCTCCTAGTAAGTGGGAACTTACAGGATTGCAAACTTTAGCTTGATGTACAGAACTGGAACGGCCTGATAAGAGACTTTTAGGAAGTAACAGTCTCATCATGTCAAGCATGTAGGTAAAAAGTTTGAATGACCAATAACCTGGGGTGTGATAGAAGCAATTCCTGAGTTAGATGGCAAAATAGCCTAGATGACTCCAAGCCTCTGTGCAGAAGTAAGTGTGAGAGATATTTCAATGACAGAAGAGGGTGGGATTACAAAACACAAAATATGGCCTATCAGTGGTCGGCAAACTCATTAGTCAACTGAGCCAAATATCAACAATACAATGATTAAAATTTCTTTTGAGAGCCAAATATTTTAAACTATATAGGTAGGTACATTGTTATTAACTTAATTAGGGTACTCCTAAGGCTTAGGAAGAGCCACACTCAAGGGGCCTAAGAGCCGCATGTGGCTCGTGAGCCGCAGTTTGCTGATCTCGGGTCTAAGTGATTCTTAAATGAAGCCTATCAGAATCACCAGGGGTTTATTCAAACTTCACACAGTCCTCAGTCTCAGATTCCACCCCAAGATTTTAATATATTCCCCATGCTAAGTGTATGTGTGTGTTTGTGTGTTTGGGGATGGGGGTGTTGCCCATGCTGCTCTCAGTTTAAAATCACTGCTACAAATCTCTGCTGTATCTGTCTAACTTGTTAAGGTGAGAAGAGTTGGAAGATTGTTGACTCTGATGTTCAAAAACCAAATGAGATTATGGGGAGAAACCCAAGCTTTTTCTATGAAACCACTTAGAATTAGGAAAAAGAAGCCAAGGTCATCCATGCTGTCATTCCCCTCACTCCTCTGTCACTGACAACTGTGCCTATTACTCTCTCCCAATTCGTGGTCAGGTCGAGTGTCACCCAGGAAGATAAACCTCTTTAGTGAAAAGGCAAGGAAATGTCATTAAGAGACTATTTAAATTTTGTTGCCAAGCTGAAATATTATAAAACCCCACCACTTCATTTCTCTTGCCACTGTGTACAAAATAGGATAACCAAAAAATGAATACATCATCCAATCAATTTAGTGGGCTTCTTCAAATATATACAGGCATACCTCATTTTATTGTGCTTTGCTTATTGTGCTTCATTGATGTTGACTTTTTTACTAATTGAAGGACAAACCCTCCACCAGCAAAAAGATTGCAGCTTGCTCTATCGCATTACTCATTTTATTGTGGTCTAGAACAGAACCTGCAGCATATCTGAGGTACGCCTGTGCATGGTAAACCTTCACAAACACAGAGAACATCAGTTTCCACAAACGAAGTTCACATTAAAAGTTACACTAAAATTCAAGCCACATACTAACTTGACATTTTAGGATTGTGATGGCTTTTCTGAGGCACTGAATTGGCTATAGCCTCAGTTATTTCATCAAACCCAGAATCCTTCCAATCAGCCTTTTATAATTTCATTCCCTTGCAGTTCAGGTGGGACTGTGAATAGGATGGATTTCATTCCCAGGATTGTTGTGTCACATGACCATAAGTTTTCTTAAATTATAAAATGGTGAAGTACAGAAAAAAAAGGCATTCTAAATTTAAGTTCTGTGCCGCTTCCATTGTACTATAGACTACACAGCTACCAGAGAGATATGAAACTGTATCTCAATTAGAATATTTTCACATATTTAGTACTTGTGCTCCCCAAAAGGGAACAAAAATTGGCCACCATTAATCCACATTCTACTAGGTAGAATTCTCTATTAAGCATTTTCTAGTTTTCATTTATGTCTATATCTTCAACAAAAGCACAACAGTAAAAATGGATTCCACTGCCTAAATCCCCAGAATTTACATGATGAGTAAATTTTTCAAAATAACTTTGCAAGAACCTGCTTCCGTTAACCATTTGGGGCAGAGTAGTTTTTTTCTTTTCCCTTAAGAAATGGTGCAAAGAAGTGACAACACCAGATGCTGACAAGGATGTTGGTGATGGGACTGTTCAATGGAAAAAGCACTCTGAAATACAGGTAGGCAGTTTCTTCAAAAGCTAAGCCTATTAATACGTACGACCCATTAGTTGTACTTCTATGCATTTATCCATAGAAACGAGGACTATGTCCACATAAAAAACTGTACATGGTTATTTATAGAAATGTCATGAGCAATAGCACAAAACAACTGAAAACAACCAAGACGTGCTATAGTAGGTGGACAGTTCAACAAGGTGTGATATACCCATAGCGTGGAATATGAGAGAAAGAGAGAGAGAGAGAGAGAGATAGATAGAGAGAGAGAGAGAGAGAGAGAGAGGTGGGGAAGAGAGAGACACAGAGAGAGAAATTTCTACATGATGCTGTTGCATGAATAGGTCTCAACAGCATTGTGCTGATTGGAAAAAAAAAGCCAGTCTCAAAAGGTTACATACTTATATATAACATTTTTGAAATGACCAAAGTATTGATATGGAGAACAATTTGTGCTTAACAGGTTAGGGAAAGCAAGGGAGCTGGTGACTCTAAAGGGCTTGCATGAGGCAGATATTTGTATTAATGGGTTAGTTCTATATTCTGATTGTGGTGGTCATTACAGAAATGCACACATGTGATAAAAAGAAAAAGAAATATATACACAATTTAACATTGTGAACTGGGTGGTTTTGGCATTTAACTTCTGTTACATAAAATGTAACCACTGAGGAAAGTTGGGTAAGAGTACACAGCACTTTTCTGTTCAATCTTTGAAACTTCATGTGATTCTATAATGATTTCAAAAAATAAAGATGGGTGTACAGCCAAATGTCTGAGACCTCTGGTAGAATCATCTACACTCTCTACAACAAAACACCACTTTTGCATTGTAATGGCCCCAACAACTAGCAGAGTTCATATTTTTTCAG